GCCACTTCGTTATGAACCAACTGACCTATCTCGGAAACGTCATCTCAACAGCTGGACGCCGACCCGATCCTAAGAAGATCGACGCTATTATACAAATGCCAAGACCGAAGGATTGCGCTCAGGTCCGGTCATTCCTCGGACTCATCAATCACTATGGAGCCTTCGTCCCAAAGATGCGCCAACTCCGTGCACCGCTCGATGCACTACTGAAAAAGGGAGCTCCATTCGACTGGAACTCTGAATGCGAAGCTGCCTTCGATCGCGCCAAGGAAGTTCTCTCTTCAGACCTGCTGCTGACCCACTATGATCCAGAGCTACCCATCATAGTCGCAGCCGACGCTTCAGACTACGGAATTGGAGCTGTTATCTCCCACCGTTATCCCGATGGAGGAGAGAAAGCTGTTTATCACGCTAGCCGCTCTCTCACCAACGCAGAGAAAAACTACGGCCAAATAGAAAAGGAAGGCCTTGCGCTCGTCTACGCCGTTCGAAAATTTCATCGATATATCTATGGACGCCGGTTCACTCTCCTCACAGATCACAAGCCACTCTTGGCCATATTCGGATCTAAGAAAGGAGTCCCTGCATACTCGGCAAACCGTCCTACAACGATGGAGACTTACGTACTTGCCTATGATTTCGACATAGAATACCGAAACACTAGCAGCTTTGGACAAGCAGACGCACTCTCCCGTCTCATCTCCGCTCAATCGCCACCGGAAGAAGATGTCATAATCGCGAAAATCGCCCGCGACATCAACGCCATTTTCAACGACAACGTTAACCGCTTACCGGTCACAGCCAAAGATGTTGCCCATGCAACCACTGAAGACGACACCCTACGACAAGTTCTCGACCACGTCGTCCACAACAACTGGCCAAAGAAACCTTCACCAACAGTTGCTCGATACGCTCACTTGCGAAACGATCTGTCAACTCAGCAAGGATGCCTGCTCTTCGGAAGCCGCATCATCATTCCCCCGTCCCTTCAGCCAGCTGTTCTGAAGAATCCTTCACGAAGGACATCCAGGAATTAACCGGATGAAATCAATAGCTCGCAGTTACGTATTCTGGACAAGGATCAATGAAGACTTGGAATAAATATAAATGAATATTTAATCATATATAAAGCCATTAATTTTACTTGGAAAAATTGGTTCGCACCTGTACCGACTGTCAAGAAGCCGCCAAGTCACCAATCAAAAACACGCTCTGTTCGTGGCCCCGCCCAGATTCACCATGGAGTCGGATTCACATTGACTTTGCCGGCCCACATGAAGGAATATCCTACCTCGTCATCGTCGACGCCTTCTCCAAGTGGCCCGAAGTCATACCAATGCCATCCACAACCAGTGCCGCAACCCTGAGAGAACTCAACCGCCTCTTTGCACAATTCGGATTCCCTCGCGTCATTGTCTCCGATAACGGAACTCAGTTCACTTCTGCCGAGTTCCAGGATTTCTGCCGTTGCAAAGGAATCGAGCACGTCCGATCACCCCGTTCCATCCCCAATCCAATGGACAAGTCGAGCGATTCGTAGATACCTTCAAACGCTCCCTTCTAAAGATGAAGAATGACGGTCCGACCCTCGATGCCCTCCATACGTTCCTGTTCACCTACCGAAACACACCCTGCGCCGCTTCGCCCAACGGACGCAGTCCTGCAGAAAATTTCCTCGGAAGACGTCTACGTAACACACTAGACCTGTTGAAGCCTAGTGAACCTACAGAAGCAACAGGAAACTACCAAATGGAAGCTCAGTTCAACCGCCGACACGGAGCCAAACCTAGAAGATTCGAGCCGAACGATCTAGTCTATGCACGAGACTTCCGCTCCAGTCAACCCAGATGGACTCCAGGACACATTTTGCGCCGCCATGGACGCGCTCTCTACGATGTGCTTGTTCAAGGAGCCGTATGGAGACGCCATACAAATCAACTACTTCCCCGTGTTCCGCCGGAAGCAGTACCTGAACTGACCACCGCATTGGATGTACCATTGGAAATCTCGCTGGATCCTCTTACTGCGACATCGCCGACTTCAATGGATACCACTGCTGCTCACACGACGACAATTACTGCGAGATCACCACAAACGACGTCGCCTACCTCCGGATATCGTCGATCTATCCGCATTCGACGTCCTCCTGATTTCCTCCAGATTGACCCGTACGCCAAGTCGTACCACGGACGTCAATCTTAGGGGGGAGGTGTTGGGGGTAGGCCGAATGCGCCATACATTCTCATTAAATGAACTTCAGTATATTTGTGTACACTGTGATAGTGGTGATGGATCTTCTTCTTCTTATTCTTCAGCGTTTGTCCCGTTTGTTGGCGGGGTCCGCTTTGAATAAGATAGTGGTGATGGATCATCACCACATAAACATGATGCTTATATAAACCTTCACGAGTATGGTTGCATTCACTTTTGGTCTCGTCTATGCCTACAAATAAAGCTTCTACTCAACTCGTCGAAGACATAACAGTACCCTACACAGGACTTGAAACATGCTCTATCGCAATGAATCTTGTTTGCAGTCTTACTTAAGCGACATGAGCTCAAACACGGTCCAATAATTGCTTAAGATTCACTGCTATCCCAATGATAAATACAGATTCATTGTTAACCATACCAGGCGATAAATATTGAGAAAAATGAGAAAGTTGCTTTTGCTACCGTACACTTGGCCAGGTGACAAATCCAACTTTTTCCATGCCGAGCTATAATTCCAACAAAGGTTATTTACACAGATGGCCTACGCTATTGCACATATCTGCACAATATCACATACCTACAATCTACCTGTCAAGAGAACTAATGGCCTATTATGCCCAGATATAACGCCTTCATTTCCAGCGACCGGTAAAGAAAACCTACTAAAGAGCGACGTTTCTCTTCAGCCTCATTTCCAACAATTGCGGCTCCATGTTGTTCAATACTTGAGGAGTTCGTATCGATGACGGCACTGGAAAGAAATAAAACGTATCCCCAGCCCTACAGCAGCAATACTCACAAGGCAACAGAATTAGCACACCGCCTGACAGCAGAGACAATGAGGTGTTCGTAGCCTGCTTATCATGGAGGGGGTGTTGAAGGAATAGGTGTCAATCATAAAAAAAGGAGGTCAACGGTACGCATAATCGAAGCGAAGTGGATTTTCGGAGCTTAAGCACCGAAAAAGCGAGCTGCGGACAAAATGCATAAACCCACACGAACTCGTAATAGACAATTTTACGTATTTGCGGAACCTCTCACATCACTAGGAGTTCTCCAGCCCGCCACAGGGGTTTTCAGCATCTCCACCGTCTTTGTTGGGGGTTCACAATCGGCCCACAAGTCGCATCGCCACCACCTTTGCTACTAATTTTGGACTCTATACATGCTTGGTTGAGAATTGTTTTACCGCAAGGTATATTAGGAAGCGAAAAGTTCCTGGAACACAAATTTGTAAGCTTCGGTAGACTATAGACTGACTCGGTTAGTTCTGCTCGGCGTATGTGAAATAGAATCATGCTCTTCTAGACGATCACGTGGCGTAGGCAACCCTTACTTCGGGAGGGGGATGAGAAGAAAACCCCATGAAATTTTTCTTGATTTCCCAACAGAGAGTCCCCCAAAGCCGTATTGTTAAGCCATGTGATTGTCGGCAGTGAAAATGTGCTGACAGTAGAAGAAATGTTTCACAATATTCAATGAACTAAACGAGATTTTGGCCCCCTTCTATTCCGGGAGCTTACGACTCATATGTGGTAGCTCAGACATAGAAAAAAAAACAGCAACAACACCCAATTAGAGGTTGTAAATGGATAAAGGAACGGCTAATAAACACTCACCCAAATGCATCGGTTTTATTCGGCATTGGTCCCATTTCAGACTCGACAAATGAACTCGACGTGGAGCCCACGTATATGAGGAATAAAATCAGCGATATACTAGCAAAAAACAATAACTTCATGTTTTTGAATAGTTTCATAAATCCTCGACGAAAGTCTCGCTAAGAGGGACCGTTAAATGGCGAGGAAGAACCAGTGTGTTATCCTAGCATCTCCGCCTCGTCATTGCTTCTGCAAACGACCGTTAGAAAGAGGCTCTGACAAAGGACCACGAATAACGATCACAATCTGAGCAAAGTTCACAAAGCCGGTGTTACTTGGATCACGTACGATAATGCATTACTTACGAGCAAAAGAAAAAAGACCACACTATCTCACGAGATACTCATTCTTCCATTGACAAAATACTTTATTTTGAATCGCAGTAAGACTCTAATGCATTCAAAATGTGTTCGCACTCACTAGACACGCAAGCTTCAGCATACATTCAAAGACTGTAATGGTAAAAGGTTCCACTGATGAAACTATGGGTACTGAAGTGGCAGGATGAAAAGGAAAAAAAGCAATGGAAGCAGATATTAATCACCCTACATAAGCTTTCTTTTGCACTTCAAAGTCAAACACTAGTCAAACACTATATACACTAATAAGTTACAGCAAAGAAAAATGCGGTCAGAAAGAGAGGCCACTCGACAGGCAGACGAGATAGGGTAGATGAGAGCGAAACGCAGGGCAAGCAGCTTGAGCTGGGAAAAGTGGGCATAATCTTTGCGCTTGTTGATCAGATTACGTGACTTCCAGAAATAATGTTCTAGACAATTAATCACGGGATGTTTTTTTTTTCAGGGGCCGGGTGCAGCAAGCCCCAACGAGGGGATGGGGACCTATCCCCTCTCCCTGAGGTTGAGGATATTATCCCCAACTTTGGGGACATATTCCCAACCTTGTGGATATATCCCCAACCTCGGGGAGAGGGGATGTGTCCCCACCCTGTGTCTCGCTGGGGCTTGCTGCACCCGGCCCCAGATGTAAATGGCCAAAACTACACCAGCGTTCAAAATATCGCAAACAATGGTTTAGGATCATAAAGTCGTTTCTCCATGAACGCAATGGTGACAAATGAAATAAAAAACTACATATTCAATGTACGACGGCACCAAAATGTATAACAGCGCCAATTCTCGGCTCGCATGCGAGGGAAATAGGCAATTAAATGCAAATCGCCGCTAGTATAAAGCGAAAGGGCATATATGTTATAATTTTGTGGGAGATTCGTCCGCTTTGAGCATATGTTTAAGACTCGAAATAATGTGAAGGACATAATTGGCAAACCCTTGAAAAGAATGAGTTCTGTGGAAGCGAGTGGATAGAAAGGTTTCAAAGAGGCGAGCGAGATGCTTGTCAAATTTCTTTAAGATGAGCAGACGAAAGCACGTTAAAAAGATGCGAAACTGGAATTACATCGATACCCGTCGGAACCGCATCACGTACCGAAACCTCTCTATCGCTTTGTTGCTAGAAAGTTCAGATGGTAACATGCTGGGGCTCTGTCTATAACTTCTTCCGATGGCACACAGCTGCAGGAGACTCAGTCCCGGTGCATTCACATATCTTAAATGCAAGTGATCATCATTTTTAATGAACCCACAAAAAAAATAGCATGTTAAGGGTATATACTGCCGAAGGAGAAAAATAAAGGATAAAAAGAGCATTTTTGCCGTTGATCAATCCCTGTTTGAGCACGCATTTTATAATACTTTAATATAAATCTGGTACCAATTAACCGACCCCGGAGGGATGGAAGGCTTGGTTGGCCCGGGCGACTCACGACCCAGGATTTGATCCCCGGACCGCTCGCGTGGTAAGCGCGCCACTTGCCACTACACCACTTCCGCCCATAAAGAAAAAAATAAGGACAGAATTTCGGCTCCACTATGACAGAAACTCTACAATACAATGAAATAGCCAAGTAGAGAGAAACATTTGTTACTGAATCTCAACTGTGTTTCATAAACAATTACGGGAATCGCTTCGCCTATATGAATATTCAGTAGGCGCCAGATTCCAGTCCATACTGCCAGCAAATAAATTATGGAAAAAAAAGAAAAAAAGAGAAACAAAACGATTGGAAGATGACATTTCAGTCCCAATAACCTCAAGCTAATAGCTCCAATGACAGAGAACCGGACAGTCAGAGTTGATCAATCTCCTACTGAGATTCGCCAAACATTTGACTTCCATTCATTACCTTGTTTCACTTCAACTGCAATCCGGCTTATACAATAACTTGTGGTGCCACCAGTTGTACAAGCCAGTTTCGCTTTTGTCCTCCTAAACACCATTCTGGTACCACCTAACCCACACCGGACGAAATGAAGGCTCGATTCGCCCGGACAGCATGCGACAAAGATTGCCATGCACGTCAAAATATTATTTCATTAGGTGTACACGTATGAAATATAGAAGGGTATTAACTTTACAACATAAGCCTGAATTCCCGTAGCTCAAAGGCGGATTTAACGATGAAAAGTTAGCTCATTGGAAATAAGGGTAGAGGTGGTCAGTGGAGCAGGGATGAAGAAGAAACCATTTGAAACGGCCCGAAACCCGAGAAATGGGACCCCTTCCTTGCCCGTTGATTTGCGCATTGATGCGACTCTCATCGCTGTGCCCTCTTCAACACTACGCTCTCTCTGCTATCTAATCACTCGCCGCGTATAGACCTGCGGCGAGTGATTAGATAATCGGTGGGCGTTCAGGACCAACTGCGCCAAAGGGAAGACCTTCGAGAGGATGTCCTTCGATGCGAAATGTGTGTTGACCCGCACTCTCAGGGGGTCCGCCTGTCTCTTTACAGGGTTAATTTCGCCTTTTTCGGAATCCGTTCTTATCGTGGAATCCTCGTTCTGGAGCGAGTCGGACTACTTTCCCAGCTCACGTTTTGAGGATTATGAAGTTCAGCTGAGAAAGATGGCCACGCACTGATTGGCAGAATAGGAAAACGACCGTTAGGGGTTTCAAGTTTTCAGCCAGTACACGCCAAAACTTTTCGGTTAGATCTAAAGACCTCCAATTCTACTCTCCCACTTTACACATATTCTTTTCATTACCTACTGATCCCTTGAAGACCAAACCTCGGAGTATGAGACAAAAATAGAAGCTGTTGATACCACGCCTGTTCATAGCCCACTGAAAAAAGGTTTAAAATGGAATATTTATTAACTGGCCTTACGTTTCGACCGCTTCGTCTTCTTCAGAGGCCTGGAGATTGTCCAAGATTCCACCGATGCGGAGCAGTAGCTCACGCCCTGTGTTGGTTAAAGCGTCATTACAGCGAATCAGATAATAAAATTAGAGTAGACATCAAATGGAGACTACTGTCATTACAACGTCCATTTGTTATTTCATGATTGTAATGCTGCAATTTCTATGTAAAACACTTTTTGTGCAAAACTGTCACCTAGACGAGGTGTTGCTTCACACGTGGAAGGGAGCACTGTATAAGGGGAAGTTCGCACGGAAGGTCGCGGGAGACTATTATTCATGAAAAATGGCTTTTTCCTCAAGCTGATCCCCTTTAGATAGAGTCTAACTCTTTGCTGAACCAGCGTTTCACCGACTTTTTTTTTCGAACAAACTGCACAAGCTGTTATACAAAGCTCAACTTACTCAGTATTGCGGCAGCAGTGATTTCACCAATCCGACCGGAAATAACTAAACTAATAGGCCGATGTCAGACTTTGCGAATCGCGCGATTCGCTAGCGTCTGCGGTCGCGTCGCGGCCAGTGAATCACTCAATTGGCTGGTACCGCAACGCGACCGCGGACGCTAGCGAATCGCGCGAATCGCTAGTAGCGAATCGCGCGATTCGCAAAGTCTGACATCGGCCTAAGAGAGACATAAGCACGAGAAAAGTAGATCGCAAGTCGGCGTAATGGGAACTGAAGATCGCCACTGAGTTGGGTCACTGGATTCTTGAGGATTACTGGCTGGGAGGGTTAAAAACAACTAAAGTATGTAGGTACAATTTTAATCGCGAGGTCTGAAAACTACTTGATTTGGTCCCCAAAATCACGTGGCGATGAAGCTATGAAGAAAGCGATTCGAATCTAGCAAAAGCTATAAGCATAATTGAAAGCTCAGTACTTACCAGTATATGAAAAAAAGAAGTCAACTATCGGATGATATTACGTTCAGTAAGGCGCTTTTATGGGACATAGAAAAGTACATTCGCTTAAGAGGTGACCTCAACCGACAGGGAAATTTGATTGACGTCGGTGACGTGGTACTTCGACAAGATCCTGGAAACACGTGTGGCGATCACGCCATCAGTCCGGCGATTATCTACAAAAAAGCCTCACTATTGTTCAAAATACCGAGTGCGAAAAGCTCGAACAGAACCATATCCATACAGAAACATTAGAACTTTCTCAACTACAGGTGCCAGAAAGGGCATATTTGTAAGCTACAAAGGGTCGACGGACTTCCTGAACTCAGTCCTTTAAACCGCCTCTCTCGCGGGTCCCTCTTTCTCCAAGGCTTAGTCCCAGGCTATTCACCCGTTCTCTATTCGTGTGTGATCTTGCCATTCGCGGCAAGACCGTTGAGGAAATATCAAGTAGTCCGTATACCAGCTACAAAGGGTGCAGTTGTTTATATAAAAATGTTCTAAAAATGAGGGCAGCCTGTAACATTGCGTCAGATTCACGAAAACTTTCAGTTTGGACCAGGGTCAACCCTATGTTGCTACAAGTAGCAACGGGGGGTCGTACTTGGATGGACCCGGAGGGGGGTCGTACTCTCTCGGTGGCCGGCAGTGGGATTTGTGGTAATCTCCCTACTGATCATAACCATGTTTCAGGAAGAGCATGAGAAAGGAAGACTTGCAGAAACAGCAGCTGCAAGACATGTAGCATCGTTCAAAAAAGTGCTCCCACCATGACATGGGTCCACCCACGAAACCACATTTGAAACTAAAGTGTAGCTGGAGTATTGCCTAAGACAACATGGACAATAGTCACCACATTACGTTTACGCAAGATAATTGATGCTAGAGCATCTGTAAGCCGCTTCCTTCTGAATGAGCTTTCAAATGAATCAGCGAATCAGAAGCGCGACCGAGGCGTGGCGCACACCAAG